TGGCTGAATAATATTCCATTGTGTATGTGTACCACATCTTCCATCTTCTTTATCCATTCATCTACTGATGGACACTTAGGTTGCTTTCATTTCTTGGCTATTATAAATAGTGCTGCAATACACATAGGGGTGCATCTGTCTTTTTCAAACTGGGCTGCTGCATTCTAGGGCAAATTCCTAGAAGTGGAATTCCTGTGTCAAATGGTTAACCCATTATTTTAACACTAAATCTTTAGTGCTATAATGTTTTTCAAGTAACTTTATTGACTGATCTTTTTATCACCTTTGGGTAGAAAAAAAATCTAGGAAAAAAACTAATACTGGGACTACTTACTTTGAAAATCATCTTACTGTATTTACTGTCTGATATGTTGTATTCATTCACATTCTATAAATCCTTATTAAGGAAACAGAGTAGAATGTAATGAAAAATTACTTTCCTTAGTATCGATATAATAAAAATATAGTAAGACTTGCCAAAGTGTTCTATTCCCTGTTGCACTCTCTGGCCATGATAAATGGAACTTGCCTGTCTTCAGGAAGAAACAGATGCCATTCTTCTAACTTACCTCATAAGCCTTGTTTGGCACAAATCAGGCATTGAAGCACAAAGATTGAATGTATGCCTATCTCTCTTAACACTGATCAAACCAAGTGAGGAAATCAAAAAATTATCCATTCTTAGTCAAAAAAGCCAAGAGGCAATATGTCAAATGTTTTAGGTAGATCTGGAGTGATTAGTTAGGAAAATAAAACACTGTGTACTTCTCCATCTTCACTCCCAGTACAACAGCATACACTTGGTTATTAGGTGGTGTTTCCCCACAGCAGGTTTCATAGTATTCACAGTGTGGAGGGAAAAAGGCAAACCAAAATAGAGGTAAAACAAAACAAACATATACTGGTGGCTCATATATACACCTGCTGTCAGTGTGCTTACTGATCTGCTACTCCTACTTTGTTTTCTTAAATTTTAATTTCTTCTGGGTAAAATAACCTTCAAACATTTTATTAACTTATACACTACTGAACAGTGACTGACAGGTGTGAAGCCAATGCTCTTGTGCAAGCTTGAAAAGGACAACTTTTCACACTTAACTGAAAACACAGAGAAAAGGAGTTCTGAATCTAATTTTTAATATGAATGAACTCAGTTATGCAAGTTAGTGAGTAGTAAATAACATGCCTGGCTTCCCATAGATAACGCTATGCTCCGGAAAGACACATGAACATTCCAGTATCAGATTATAGCACAACATTCCCAACTACACTATCTAATAAGCAAATGTTTTACAGGAATTCCTTTTATACCTCATCTAAATGCTCTCTACAGATTTCAGAAAAGACATGAGTTCTTAATAAAGGCTATCTTGGATCAATTCTGATTACTATCTGCACTATCACAGCAAAGTTACTCAAGCTTTGTGTGCCTCAGTTTCACTGTGAGTAAAATGGGAGTTATAATAGTTATAAAAGGGGGAGTAAGGTATAGAGGATTATAGTACAGTGTGTGGCACATGATGAGTCCTTGACAAATGTTAAGTATTACTATTAAAACCATCTTATATAAAGATGAACTAATTCCCAACATCCTCTTCTGACTTACCAATCTTTGAAAAATGTAATGAAGTAAAATATCCAATGGTCAAGTAACAGGAAGAAATATACTTTACTAAATAGTTGGATTTATTATCAATATGGATAAACAGTAAATAAAATTTAATAGTAGCTATATATCAAGATTTACTCAATTATTCATAGTGCTGATCCTTAGTTATATTGAAAAAGTATGAATTATTTAAAATAAAATTATTCTAGTAGAATACCAATTCATATATTGTAGATAATGGATTATTGAAACAGGAGAAAAATAATTTTTACTGGCACAAAATAACCCCAAACTACCCTTCTAAAAGGTGTGCTATGACTTCAGCTCAAGGGAACAAATTTAACCAAAATGGATAGAAAATTATAGAACAAATGATCATTTTAATGGTTTTATTGATTTATTTTTAGATGAAAAATTGAAACTTAGGGTATGTCATGAATCCCCTATGTCACAAAGGTAAAATTTCCCCCAAATTTTGATAAATTAACATGACTACTGTGAACTCCACTTTCATTAATAATGGCAGGAAAAATAAAAATAAACAAAAATATTATAAGCAATTTAAGGATGGAATATCCTAAATGTAATATACATACTAAAACTAAAAGCATACGTAGGATGAATGCAGGAATAATTAAATAATTAAATGAAAGGAGACATAAATCAGTTGTTTATTGTAAAAGGTACTTGGTTATATAAATTAGTTGGCACTTATATCTAGATTTCCATAATTAATAGTGTGCTAAGAAACTAGAGTACCTCATTTTTAACTTTACTATCTAATAACTTAAAATGTTAATATAACTCTGAAACAGAAATAAGATAAAAAGTTAAGAATAAAATAAGAACTCAGCCTAAATAGTAAGATCAAGTTCAAGATGATTGAGCACTCTGTTCTACATCTCTTATTTTACATTCCTCAATCAGGTACCTAACCAACTGAACATGCTCATCAAAGGTTTTCTGAATTGCTGTATGGATTGAAAGGAAAGGGAAGGAAAGGAAGATGAAAGGAAAAAAGTAAGAGTGATACTCATAAATGTTAACTAGATACTTTCAAACTTTAGTCTTCATAAGAATATCCCTAAAGTCTAATTAGCCAAACCCTTAATTCTAATTATTACCTCCAAGATGGGTCAACTCTCTACAGTTCAACAAACACCTCAGGTGATCCTGAAGCAAATTAATGCATGGCCTCTAGAACAACATTTCCAAAGCTGGCATAACATAGTACACTATACTACAATAAAAAAGTATGTCCTGAAAAAGTGCTCTTTGGTAAAATAAATTAAGAAAAAGGAAAAATAAGGAAGAGTAATCATTTTTCTAAATATAAGTATTTCTCAGAGCTTCAATATGCATTTGAATTCCCTAAGAGAGAAAACAACCATATTACATTTCCTAAGATTACCACTCATGGAATCTTTTCTTGTGTTTTGCCATAAATACCAACAAGAAGACTAAAATTTTTACACAAGAAAACTAGAGTCAAGGAGTAAGATGAAAGGAATTGGACTAAATTATAAAATTTAAAAGCTTCCTTATAAATCTAAACTGGAAAAGCAGTCAAGTAAATTATGAAAAATAGAATCTTCTTTTATCTTAACTAATACCAAACTATGGGCATATAAATATCACTAAGATGTACAAAATTTTCCTCTATATAACTCCAAAGTTAAAGATGGTAATACTTTCCTAAGAATTTCTTTAACCAATAAAGAAACAAGAAAAAACTTTTCATAAGAGAATAATCTGTGTAAGCATAGACATATGAAGCACAACAACTCTTCCCTAAGATCTCAGAATAGCTGCAGATACTGTAAACTATATTTCTGAAGCCTAAAAAATGTTTTAACTAGTAGGAATCATAAATAAAACTATTTCAAATTGATCAAATTAACTATTTCAGTTATCTAAGAGACAACAATTCCCAAATTTGCCTCAGCAAATTCAAATGAGACTATAATACAAAACTGAATGAAATTAAGTAGTTGACTACTCTTAAGATCTTTTAAGTGATTACCATATAGATGGAATCTATGGATTAAAGAAAACTTTTGAGAAACTGTTACTTTAAGGAAAAAAATAGAATCTCTTTGAAACTAAACAGATAACGAAACAAAAGATGACAACTAACCCCAAAAATATCTTCACATCCTCCTCAGGGATAGACAAATTTTTTTACATGTGCCTGCCTTGGCTTAAGGTAAGAAGGTAAAAAAAAATCTACCCTAAGAATTAATAACTGCCAGCCAGCCCTCATGACTGTAGAGTAGAAATTTATACTACATGTGTAATGAAAAAGATAAGCACCAAACTTTTATTTAAAATGGTGTTAGGTTGGTAGAGCTCCCAGGCACCTGGTACAAACAAATACAAACGCTTTCTGGAAGGAAATTTTGAAACTCTGACCTCAAAAAATCTTGAATTAGAAATAAGCTAACAATCTGACTGAAAAAAATGGGAAGACTTGCACATACATTTCCTAGAAGAGGAAATACAACTGACCAAAAATTTATAAATAGATGCTCAAAGCCAGCAGTATTGAGGGAAATGCAAAATGATACAGTATTTTACATGTATCACATTAATAAAACATTAATACATTGGACTAAACAAGCTTGGGAGAATCAATAACATTGCTGGTATGAGTATAAACTAGTTTCAAAAACATTGGAATTATCTAGCAAAACTGCAGATACTTTATAACTAAACAAATTCATGCCTTGATATTTACTCAAACTTCTTGTTACCAAGTTGCAGGAGACATTTACCAAATTTTTAAACAAAGTTGTTTATAAAAGAAAAAAATGGAAATGACAAAACTGCCAGTTTATAGAAAAGACTATTCTTCCAATAAAAGCTACACAGTAGTGAAAACTAGTTCATGAACTGAAACTACACAGATCAGTATGAATCAAATCAATATGTTGGTCAAAGAAAAATGTTTGACTCTATTCTTATAAAACTGAAAACATTCAAAACTATATGTTATTTATGAATACATACATTTGAAGTATAGTTATAAAAAAAGAAGAGAATAAGAATTATGAAGTTGAGGAAGAAGGGGATGATCTCTTGACAGACAGATGAGGATAAGAGTACTTTGAGATGTACAGGGGACTTCAAAGGCTTTGATAATGTTCTCTTTTTGGTGGACACAGTGTGTGTGTTGATTATTATGCTTTAAGTTGAAAATATAACCTATAAATTTTCAGGTATGTATAGTATTTTTAATATTGTAAAACAAAAACTCTTAAGAATAATCTGACAGCAATATATGTGTTTCTTTCTTTGGTTCCTCAGTATATGTTCACCCTCTGGGTTTCTCACCTCTTAAAGTCTGCACTCAGAATTTTGTGATGATTGTGATACATAGGGAATAAGTTACCGTGTTTCTTATTGGAATCTTCTTGGGTTCTGGAGGCATATCTTGTGGAACAAATTTCACTGGTTCCTTAATCTGCCTCCTTGATCGTTTGGTCCCATCTGGTAAGGTTTCCATGGCCATGTCTGCTTCCATGTCACTGCTTCCTGCCTGGTCACATTCTGAACACTGCCTACACAAAGAAAAAAATCCAAGTTCATAAATTTATTTTTACATTCTAGCATTAGCTATGGTTTCTATAAATACAAAATTCAGGTATATCTGAAGAATACATAAAAATGTACATGAGCATATATGACTAAGGGTATAAATGATAATACAAACACTCCTATAACTATGACAATAGTAAATATAATATATAAAGTAATTCCATACAGCTCTATGAGTATCATAAGAACATGCAATAATGTGGCATGTTTAAGTGAATCAACATAAGAGATTCAGCACTGATAGGAGAGTTGGAAGCAACATGAGAAGACCATAAGTTTACATCTCAGGCTGATCCTCAGCACAGAGATAGCCCTCTACAATAAAAAATGAACAGATAAACAACAACGAAAAAACTATACCAATAACAACACAGAGCAAACCTTGGGGATGGAGGACAGTGTCCTTTCCATAATTACTTCCTCATTATATTCAAATTCCCAGTTTTTTACAATCAACCACAAGGCATACAAAGAAACAGGAAAGTATGGCTCATTTAAAGGGGGAAAAAAAAACAGAAACTGTCCCAGAAGACCTGATGGCAGCGCTACAAGACAAAGACTTTAAGCAGTTGTTTTTAAAGATGCTCACTGAACTAATAAAAGTCGTGTAGGAAGTTAAGAAAACAATGTGTAAACAAAATGGAAATACAATAGAGACAGGAAATCTAAATTCTGGATCTGGAAAGTACATTAACAAATAAAAAATTCACTACAGCAATTAGATTAGAGCAAGCAGAACAATCAGCAAACTTCAAGATGGATAATGGAAACAAAAGATTGGTACTCTAAATTTAAAAGAATTATTTACTATTTGACATGACTAATACATAAATTCCTTACTACTTATTTATACCCTACCAGACTAGTCTCAGAACGTAAGGCGGCATGCAAGAATACCTATTTAGAAAAAAAAAAAAAAAAGCCAAAGTAACATAAACTAAAAGTGAAATAAAAATACACTACAAACACAGGGAGTAGGTACAAACAAAATAGAGCCTAGATTATACCTTCACTTCTTTATCCCCTGTCAAATTCTTTACCCACCTAATCCTCTTCATCTACTTTGCCCATCCTAACCCAACATAAAAAGTCCTAGGATTTTCTTCTATACTGCTCCCGGGCAGCTAATAATATTGGGGGGGAAAAAAGCAACTAATCACACTAACCTAATTCACTGAATATTCTTGCTTTATAAGAGCCTCAGCAAGTCACTTAGTTATCTGTGATCTTTTTCTGCAGTAGCTGTTGCAAACTACTCCTCTCTTCTTAATCCCATTATCACAGGACCTTTTCCTCTCAACAGGCTATTTCTATTTCACTGAAAAGTAAGAACCTGTCTAATGTGAACTCACTTAACTTCTCTACTCTTCACCAATAATTACTTCTATATCTTTACCCATCTCTTCTTTCCTATTATGTGTGAAATCAGCCAGCAGATTCCAGTGAACTACTGGGGAAGGAACCAAACAGAAAGCATCCAGAACTAGTATCGCCATGAAATCAGAGCTGACCCTGTAAAAGCTGGATAGCAGGTGCGGAGAATACTCTATCGAGAGAATTATGGTATCTGAGAAGTAAGGCAACAGATGCAAAATAATTCCAGCTAGCAGTGAACACAAAGGGGATACAGTAGTAAGGGTGTTATCACAGGTTTGCATAGCATTAAGACAGCAAAAGCAGAAACTTGTAACATTCAAAAAATGTATGTTAGCAGGCATTTTAGAAATTTAAGCCAAAAACTGGGGCCCAATCAACAGATAAGGGTCCAATAATAGGACCTTTTTCTTTCCTTAAGAAAAAGACTGAGAATAACTAAGTAATAACTAAAAAAGAGAGTAGGCAGAGGTGTGCTGATAAATATCTAACAGCTGGCTCTCTATGAATTTCCGTGGTATGAATACCCATATGATCAATTTCAAGCTACCACCACAGCATCAGTGAATGCATAGAATGGGGAAAAGATGCATTAACAATCTATTACAGTTTTTCTACTATTCAACAGACTTAAAATAAGAACAAAGATATTAGTAAAATATTTAGGAAGTTAAAATTTTTTAGTATTTATCTTTAATATAATTTCAAAAAATTAACTGAAAATGTTAAAAAGCAAAAAGTAAAAATTGCCTCCAACATTTGATATACACAAAAGAAAAAAATAATTCTCTAAAACTTACTCCAAAATTAATATACCAATTAATTGCTAGGAAAAGCAAAGTTGACTTAAGAGGCCAAAGGAAATATGATCACTAGAAACTAGAAGATATCAAAGACTTCACTTTGCTGCAACATTATCTTCTACTTTTACTTTAAAACATTGCAACAAATGTTTGGGTCCTTTGGGGAGAGCTTTCACTAAAACATTCCAGGTTGATATGGAATAAAGATGGCAGTGTGAGAGCAAAGAGAGGCTTCCAGCTAAAACTGGATACAATAAGAAAATTTAATTGGCGCAACTAATCCTGAGAGAGCAACAGGAAAGAGGACGGCATCAGACTGCACACACCTGGAGAAAAGAGCAGACGTCAGCGAACGGGGTACCAGAGCTGTGGCTCCATGGGACCCAAACCCCTCCCCCACCCCAGCTAACTGGCAGTAGGAAGAAAAACGGAGCAGGGAGGGGGTGGAAGGCTTGGGACTGCTGAATACTGAGCTCCAGAGATCTGCTCTGGGAGCACAAACCTACATTTCATGGTGCTTTCATGAGACTCGCACGACTACTGGGTTGGAAACTTAATACAGGCAGAGTTCCTGGGGAGACTGGGATTTCGGCTGCTTGTGGAAAGCAGGGATCCATATGTGGCTGTTCTGGGACAAAAACTTATACCTGTGTGACCGGCCCATTGGGTCAGGCAGTGGAGACAGGCACAGCAGCCAGCAAGCAGGGAACAGCTCTTTCCTACCCCCAGATACCAGTACCGCTCCCCTGCAACCCCCAACATTGCTTCAGGGGCTGAGTAGCTCAAGAATAGATATTCTGGACACGAGAGGGCGCCATATACAAACATGAAATGCCAAAGGAACCTTGTCCAGAGTAAAATTGTTAATACAACTCCCGAGAAAGATTTAAATGATATGGACCTCGTTACTCTTCCTGAAAGGGAGTTCAAAATAAAAATCATCAACATCCTAATGGAGGTATGGAAAGACATCCAAGAACTCAGGAATGAATTCAGGTCAGAGATCCAATCACTAAAGAACATGATGGAGGGTATTAAAAGCAGGTTGGATACGGTGGAGGAGACAATAAGTGAAATAGAAACTAGAGAAGAGGAATACAAAGAAGCTGAGGCACAGAGAGAAAAA